TTTAGCATATAAGATAGGGTCAGGGGGGACTGACAACTCATGGGGCCCCCAGGCAAAAGGGGATCATGGGGCCCCTGTGTCCTTGCCCACACTCAAAAAAACCTATAAAAAGGTACCAGGGGCATTTCATGGGGCCCCCTACTGACCCCGGGCCCTCGGGCAGTGCCCGAGTTTCCAAATGGTCAGTCCGCTCCTGGATAGGGTACAAATGCTAATCATATCATTAGATGACTAACACAAAACAGCACAAATGTACAAATAATACATAATCAAATGAAAGTGTAACAGCTTAGAATCAAATATATCTCATACATGCTGTACAATATGCTGATCTGTGAAAACATTAAAGTAGTGGGAAAAACTGTGTTTAAATTGCTTTGTCCCTAGGCAAGTTTATGTGCTTTTCTGGGAATAAATTATGGTATTTTGACCTGTTGTGACATTGTGTTTTCTGTTTCTGGGAAAAGCTGCTAGTACTTTGACCTTTCTAGATTTTTATTCACTATAATTATGATACATATTTTGTCATTTTGCATGGTCATTTTTAAGTGTTTGCAGTTGTGTTAGCAGAATATTCCCTTCAGGAGAAATACTTGATTATTTAGTTACTAAGCATTTAACTTTAAGGAAAAATTTTCTTTATATCATTATGTGATTGTGCTATTAGTGTAAAATATCAAGGTGTCCCTGCTGCAAAATATATCAGATTCAAATTAATTTAACTTTCATATGTCTGAAATTAAAGCTGGTATCACATGGGAGCTATTTTTTTTAAATGCTTTGGCATAAACAAAGTTTACATTTCTAATATGTTAAGCTATGAAATATATGTTGCTATTCCAAATTAAAACGCACTTAAGACAATAACAAAGTTAGAGTTGTTGCCAGTAGCGATCGATCAGGTTTTATCTCTCAGTTTATGAAAAAAATTGACCGTGATTTATGATTGGTCACTGTGGACAGTGATTCTAATTTTATGGTCACCTTCTACTCTTCATTCCTTCTGAATCATCACCATTTAACAAAGAGCATTTTTGCCCCAGAACATCTTAGAGAAAGGTGTTTTGGAGGGGACTGGTCTATCAAAAATATGTGTTCATAGGAGAAAGATTCCAAATGAAATTATTTTTTACCAAGGTTAAAATAATGTTAGGAAACTGATTTTTTTTCAGTTTGCCATTACATGATTAAAGTGGGTGAAAATTTAACAATGCCTATCCCTCTATAGTGTGTACTTGTCTAAATCCAGAGCATTGTGTCAATTCAGGCTGTTGCCTCATTCTTCTGCTATCTGCATGAGTTACTTCTGACAAGTTTTCCTGACATCAAGAGATAGAAGGTGACAGGTGTGGATCTCCTGCACACAGCCTGTGATTGACAGCTTCAGCTCTGTTCCTGTGTGCTGTGTGAAGGGGGTGTGTCCCCTTCCCTCCAATCAGCTCTTACTGAGTTCTGCAATGTAACTTTAGCTCCCCGTCGAATTTTGTTTCATGTATTGTGGCTTAAAGTGGAGTACCAGCTGAAAAAAAAAGTCAGAAGCTACAAAAACTGTAGCTGCTGACTTTTAACATACAGCCACTTACCTGTCCCTCGGTCCAGCGGTTTCCTCACCACTGCTGGTTTCACCAGTCATCTTCTCTCCCTGGCGCCGGCATTTTCATTGTGCGCACCTGGCTTCACAGCCGGGTGCCCACTGTGCATGCGCGAGAAGCGGTGCGCTTTGTGAATGGCCCCGTCGTCTTCTGGGACCTGTCACGTGTGCCAGACGACTACAGGGAGGGAGGGGGGAGGACAACTTCCACTTCCGATCGCCTAGGCGATCACAGCGGAAGTGGAAGTGGGTACCTGTAAAATTTGGGTACCTGCTCCCCAAAGGTGCCAATCCTTAATGGGAGAGCGGGGGACAAAGCATTAAAGCAGAACTTCCCCTTCTTGGGTGGAACTCCACTTTAAGCTTGTTTTCTGCATGTACAGAGAATACATGTTACCTGTCAGGAAAGGGATATCCAGGTACACAGACGCCCTGGATTGAGGAACTCTACACGTGGCCGGTATGCAGGTGCGCGTGCATGAATGAACTTTCATGCACGAACGAATACGCATGCGTGAACTAATGCACTTGCTCATGCGCGAGTGTGCATTGGTGCCAAGAGAGCTATTTTTTAGCTGCACTATGTTATGGAGTCCTTGCCGCTTGGTCTACTATGAAGTATCTGATACCTGTTCCTTTGTTAACTTCCTGATAGCAACTTGATCTGCCTCTGACCCTGCCTGAATGCTGCCTGTACCAACCCCTGGCTTGTCTGTGGATTTCGTCTTTGCCTGCTCCTTCTGTTTATTCACCCATCTGCCTATTACTACCCACCCTGCCCTGACCTTGAATATTCATCTGCCTGCTGTATTGTACTCTGATTTGCTTGTCAGTTGCCGACTTGGACTGCCTGACTCTGCTCGCTGCATCTGAACCTGCTGTCTTGTGCCTGACTTCCGTTCCGGTCTTCCACCAGCACAACCTGCTCTACAGCAACAGCTATGCACTACATCTATGCACCAACAAGCCCAGCCTGCTCTACAGCAACAGCTATGCACTACAGCTATGCACCAACAAGCCCAGCCTGCTCTACAGCAACAGCTATGCACTACAGCGGTGCACCAACAAGCCCAGCCTGCTCTACAGCAACAGCTATACACTACAGCGGTGCACCAACAAGCCCAGCCTGCTCTACAGCAACAGCTATGCACTACAGTGGTGCACCAACAAGCCCAGCCTGCTCTACAGCAACAGCTATGCACTACAGCTGTGCACCAACAAGCCCAGCCTGCTCTACAGCAACAGCTATGCACTACAGCTGTGCACCAACAAGCCCAGCCTGCTCTACAGCAACAGCTCTGCACTACAGCTGTGCACCAACAAGCCCAGCCTGCTCTACAGCAACAGCTATGCACTACAGCTGTGCACCAACAAGCCCAGCCTGCTCTACAGCAACAGCTATGCACTACAGCTGTGCACCAACAAGCACAGCCTGCCCTACAGCAACAGCTATGCACTACAGCTGTGCACCAACAAGCCCAGCCTGCTCTACAGCAACAGCTCTGCACTACAGCTGTGCACCAACAAGCACAGCCTGCTCTACAGCAACAGCTATGCACTACAGCTGTGCACCAACAAGCCCAGCCTGCTCTACAGCAACACTATGCACTACAGCTGTGCACCAACAAGCACAGCCTGCTCTACAGCAACAGCTATGCACTACAGCTGTGCACCAACAAGCACAGCCTGCTCTACAGCAACAGCTATGCACTACAGCTGTGCACCAACAAGCACAGCCTGCTCTACAGCAACAGCTATGCACTACAGCTATGCACCAACAAGCCCAGTCTGCTCTACAGCAACAGCTATGCACTACAGCTATGAACCAACAAGCCCAGCCTGCTCTACAGCAACGCATGCACCACTCTCCTGCATCCTGCAACGGAAGACCAGTCAGGCACTTATGCCCACTCCAAGCTTAGGTGCTACTGTCACTTTACAAGGGGTCCTGAGCTGGAGGTGTAAGAGAAACCTACCTCCACACGTCAGGCTCCACCACCAGGTACATTACTTTACCCTTGCTAGGATTGCAGTGCCTTTGCCACTTCCTGCAAATGGGATTTATATATCGACCAATGTTATTTTATTCTAAGCTATCTTCCGAAGACTACAAATCCCCCTGCCCACTCCATATAATGAAGAGGAAGAGAAGGGGAGATGTTTGTTGTCCAAACTAGGAAAACAGCCTAATGTAACAATCCTCCATAGACATAGAGGTGTGAGTAAATGATAACAAAAAAAGAAGGTCTGAAAAAAGAAAACTGTTTTTGGGTTTAGATACGCCTATAAGAACTGTGTAGTGGAATTTGTAAAGGCACACAGGATATTTCAGATCAATAAATCGCCAGTGAGATGATTCATCTTAATTATTAAAGTGAGCAATTATGGCTATTAATATTCTGTGAACTTTCTACAAACATTCATTACCAATGAATTATACATGATCAGCAAATGAGGAAGCATAAACATTTCTTATGAAGCATATCTCATGGTCTTTCTGAATAATGCAGTAAAATATCAGGCATTGCGGCATGCATCATTTACATTTTTATATAGGAAGTCAGAGGCCTTTGTTAAAAACTTATTTAAATGATAGTAAAGTGGTATGTCATTAACACTGGGGACAAGTATGCATTATGAATTGCACAACAAACACTGTGCTTTGTACTACTATGAGTAAGATTACAACACATTTCTTCAACTATAGCCGGCCATTCTGAAAGAATTCTCTTTTGGAAATTGTAACTAAGAATTTTCATTTGAATTTCGCAACATTAGTGGGCTGCAGCACCAGCTGATTTTTGTGCAGCCATCAAATTTGAATGATTGGGTATGTTGGAAATGTTTTGAAAAATGAACAAATTTCTAATCAATGATGGGAGAGTTGTGTGAGAAATATACCGTATTTTTCGTTTCATAAGATGCACTTTTTTGCCCCCCAAAAATGTGGGGAAATGTCTATGCGTCTTATGGAGTGAATATGAAGCGACCAGCCCAGTATTCCCCCCGTCGCCGCCGCCGTGTTAGAATACCGGGCCGGCCGCTCGGCTCTCTCTGTGCAGCAGAACCTGCTCCTCGGTCCTACCTGTTCTTCAGTCCAGTGGTGTCGTCACCACCACTGGTTTCACCGGCTGTCTTCTCTTACTGGCGCTGTCATTTTTAGTGTGGGCACCCGGCTGTGACATCTAGGTGCCCACTGTGCATGCGTGAGAAGCGCTGCGCTTTGTGAATGGCCCCGTAGTCTTCTGGAACGTGTCACAGAAGACTACAGAGAGGGAGGATAACTTCCACTTCCGATTGCCTAGGCAAATGCAGCTGATGTGGGAGCAGGTACCTGTCAAATTCAGGTACCCGATCCTCCCCACGCTCCCCAAAGGTCTGCAGTCTCTGGACATCTCCTGTACTGTGTCCGCAGTCTCTGGTCATCTCCTGTACTGTGTCCGCAGTCTCTGGTCATCTCCTGTACTAGGTCTGCAGTCTCTGGTCATCTCCTGTACTGTGTCCGCAGTCTCTGGTCATCTCCTGTACTGTGTCCGCAGTCTCTGGTCATCTCCTGTACTGTGTCCGCAGTCTCTGGTCATCTCCTGTACTATGTCTGCAGTCTCTGGTCATCTCCTGTACTGTGTCTGCAGTCTCTGGTCATCTCCTGTACTGTGTCCGCAGTCTCTGGTCATCTCCTGTATTTTGTCCGCAGTCTCTGCTCATCTCCTGTACTATGTCCGCAGTCTCTGGTCATCTCCTGTACTTTGTCCGCAGTCTCTGGTCATCTCCTGTACTTTGTCCGCAGTCTCTGGTCATCTCCTGTACTGTGTCCGCAGTCTCTGGTCACCTCCTGTACTATGTCTGCAGTCTCTGGTCATCTCCTGTACGATGTCTGCAGTCTCTGGTGATCTCCTGTACTATGTCTGCAGTCTCTGGTCATCTCCTGTACTATGTCTGTAGTCTCTGGTCATCTCCTGTACTATGTCTGCAGTCTCTGGTCATCTCCTGTACTATGTCTGAAGTCTCTGGTCATCTCCTGTACTGTGTCCGCAGTCTCTGGTCATCTCCTGTACTGTGTCCGCAGTCTCTGGTCATCTCCTGTTCTGTGTCCGCAGTCTCTGGTCATCTCCTGTACTGTGTCCGCAGTCTCTGGTCATCTCCTGTACTAGGTCTGCAGTCTCTGCTCTTCTCCTGTACTATGTCTGCAGTCTCTGGTCATCTCCTGTACTATGTCTGCAGTCTCTGGTCATCTCCTGTACTATGTCTGAAGTCTCTGGTCATCTCCTGTACTGTGTCCGCAGTCTCTGGTCATCTCCTGTACTGTGTCCGCAGTCTCTGGTCATCTCCTGTTCTGTGTCCGCAGTCTCTGGTCATCTCCTGTACTGTGTCCGCAGTCTCTGGTCATCTCCTGTACTAGGTGTGCAGTCTCTGCTCGTCTCCTGTACTGTGTCCGCAGTCTCTGGTCATCTCCTGTACTGTGTCTGCAGTCTCTGGTCATTTCCTGTACTGTGTCCGCAGTCTCTGGTCATCTCCTGTACTGTGTCCGCAGTCTCTGGTCATCTCCTGTACTATGTCTGCAGTCTCTGGTCATCTCCTGTACTGTGTCTGTAGTCTCTGGTCATCTCCTGTACTATGTCCGCAGTCTCTCGTCATCTCCTGTACTATGTCTGAAGTCTCTGGTCATCTCTTGTCTTATGGTCAGGTGTGTCTTATGGAGCGAAAAATACGGTAATCAAAAAAGAAATGAGCATGAGCTATGACTTGGAAAGAAAAGAAAATTTGCAGCCATGAATATTTGTTTCCGTAGCAACATGAGGTGAAATTGAAGGCTTGGTTGGATGAATTTCGAAATCAATGGTGGCACCATCGGATTACAAAATGCACAAAATTTACGATTTTCTAAAGAAAATTTGTTCAGAATTCGCATATAGGCACATCATAGTGACTCCAATAAGGCCTTGACAAATCATTTAACCCTTCCTTATTTTATCCAAAACTTAAAAGAAGTGTTTTGATTATATATATACTTTAATGATTACACTATACTCTGCCTACTACTACATGCTCTTGATATAATGATTTTGTATACTGCTGCTAATCTTCAGTAACCTATGCTGTACTGCATTGCCACATAGCTTTTTATTTGTGAACATAGTGTCATTCTGACATTTAGATTGCTATTGTATAGTCCACACTGAGATAAATGCAGATATGTATATTTACATGGTAGTAACACTCCCCTTAGATGCCTCAAAGTATGCAAAATTGTATAAAAGGAAGCTCATAGCTAAAATAATGTTGAATGCATCTTGTATGTAGGTGTTTCTGTCTCTTGTATTATGGATGACATCATTTGTGGACAATTGACCATGGTAGGGTCACTAGGTCTAATGTAATTAAAAAGATGATGTAGAAGAAGAGACTAGAGCACTTAGAAGGCACATCTTAAAAAAATGCTGGACAAACAGATGCTGCCTGTGATGGGCATATTTTATTAACCAGGCAGGTAAAAAAAACAGCCAAATTGCCAATGGTCTGTTTCTGTCATAATGCATATGTCAGCACTGCATTCCATTGACTACTTTCTTCCCAAACATCTTTGATAGAGCCAGCACTCTTCACAAAACAGAGTAATGCAGGCCATACATGGGTCGAATTCCGAATGAATTTTCTGTAGAAAATCGGAAATTTTGTGCATTTTTAATCTGATGATGCCACCATTAATTTCAAAATTCAACCAAGCAAACCTTCAATTTCACCTCTGTTGCTACAGAAAAGAATTTCCGTGGCCAAGAATTTTCTTTTCTTTCCAGGTCCCAGCTCATGTTCATTTCTTTTTCGTTTATATTTCCCTAACGATTCTCCTATCATTGATTGGAAATTCATTTGGTTTTCAATAAATTTCCAACATGCCCGATCACTCAAATTTGATGGTCACACAAAAATTGTCAGTTTCTGTGACCCATTAATGGAGCGAAATTCGAATGAAAATTCTTAGAAAAGATTTTTTAAAGAGAATCCTTTAGGAATTTGACTTGTGTATGGTCAGCTTAAGAGGAATAGGGACTAGAAATACTCCATTATATGCTATAGACTTATGCAGGCCATAGACAGCTCAAAAACTGGCCGTTTTTTCGTCCGATAAACGAAACATCGGTCGTTCGTTAAACCGACGTAACCACCAATTATTATGAAAATCGGCTGACTAAGTCATAAAAATCATGACATATAACAGGAAATGATGTCATTTTTGACCTTTCAGACCCTCCTGCACTATACAGAGAGCCTGACGAAATGAACATCACTATCGTTTCGTACACACGAAAAATCTGTACATCTTGTACGAAAATGCCTGGCAACATCTCAAAAAGAAAAATTGCCATAATGGTGCTTGGCTTGGTAGCACTGGAGGAGCAAAAAAAAGAATAAAAAAAGGAAGAGCAGAGTACGGTCCAAAGACTTTTTCGTAAAAATGATTGTACAATTGGACCATCACTGACGTGAAAATCAGTCGTTTTCCACAAATTTTCCAACATGACCAATAATCCAAAAGTGGAGAAAACGTGAAAAACGGCTGACGGATTAACCCACTAACAGTGCGGCCAATTAATCTTTCGGATGAAAAATCGGTCGATTTTCGAACCGTCTGTGGCCGGCATTATGCAGGCCATACACGGGTCGAATTCCGAACAAATTTTCTTTAGAAAATTGGATATTTTGTGCATTTTGTAATTCGATAGTGCCACTATTGATTTCAAAATTCAACTAGCCAGGCCTTCAATTTCATCTCATGTTGCTACAGAAAAGAATTTTCGGGGCCAAGAGTTTGCTTTTCTTTCCAGGTCACAGCTCATGGTTGTTTTCCTTTATATTTCCCGCACGATTCTCCCATCATTGATTTGAAATTCATTCGTTTTTAAAAAAAAATTTCCAACAAGCCTGATCACTCAAATTTGATAGTCATACGAAAATCAGCCATTTCTGTGACCCACTAATGGTGCAAAATGTGAACGAAAATTTTTAGAAAAGATTGTTGAAAGAAAATTCTTTCGGAATTTTACCCGTGTATGTCTGGCTTTAAAGATAGTCTATAAGGAGAGAGCTTGCCATCAAAATATATCCCTGCTAACACTTCATTCCCTACTAACAAATTAATAAACATTAGATAACCAACCCCATCTTTATCTAACCATTGCCATAAACAGATGTATCTGGTGATTGTTTACTGACGTCTGTAGATGCCTTCATCGAGGTGCTATAAAAACACACAACCTATTATTTGTCATAGTCAGGACTCCTGGTCACAACCATGAGGGGACAGAATCACCATGGTTTTTTTCACCCAGAGTATTAGTTTGAGGGCTATATGCCTTCATACTTTGGAGAACAGTACCATCTAATGTGTTACTGGAAATATAAAATATGGTATGAAGATCTGTACTTTTGATTGGTCAGACCTCTACAGGAATAGATGGGAAATCTTCCAAAAGTGACACAAGGTCTGGTGACCCTTGGGATGCCTAGGTATTTCCTCACTTTGGAGGGATTTCCTCTCATTTCAGCAAGTAAAGGAAAATCTTCTCAATGGGACCCATAGTTACATGTGAAAAAAGACACATGTCCATCTTGTTCAACCAGTAAAAAACACACACACACACATAGAAACCCTCCATATACAGAATCTTATACCCACACTTGATTCGGAGGATAGCAAAAAAAAACAGTAAAGCATGATCCAATTCACTCTAGTGGGGGAAAAAATTCCTTCCTGATCTCCAAATAGGAAATCAGATATTCCCTGGATCAACTACCCCTGGTGTTATTACCTCTAAAAAAATTGTATCTAGTTGTATTTTGTGCTTTTAGGAATACATACAGCTCTTTTTATAAACAATCAACTGAGTTAGCCAGAAACAGTTCTTGAGGGAGACTATTCCAGATTTTCACAGCTCTTACTGTAAAGAAGCCTTTCCGTACGCGGTACGTACTCCGTAAGGTTAAATCTATTTTCCTCTAGACATACCCCTTGGGTAGAGATGGCAAAAAAAACCTGAAAAGGGTTATAACCCTTCCTTACTCTGTCCAAAATGAAAAAAAAGTTTTTCCTTTACTAACACCTTAAGGCTAGGTTCACACTGTATGGGGTATTTGTTCCTGCACCCGCAACCACCCAAAGCCAAACTCCACTGCTCTGCAGAGACATGCACAGGTACAGCAACCGCAGGGAATTCACATGGTGCAAAAGCGCTATGCAATTTCTTTGCAGGTGCATCTAAAAATGGTGGTGAAATCACCTTTTTTGCGGCAAACGCAGGCACAGCAGCCCATTCAAATGAATAGGCTTCTACGCCTGTGCAAACGCGGGCCCCAAATCCACACAAGCCTGAACCTAGGGTAAGGATCTTCAGATACATTATCGAGCTGTGCCAACTTTACCCTAATATTTATTTTCATGACCACATTTTGCATGCTTGCTGTACCTATTTTTACGATACCATCTACAGCTACAGATGTAGATCCTTTCTTTCTGGCTATATTCAGTGGTGTATTTAGGTTTCGTGCTGCCCTAGGAAACACAAAAATTGCCCCCCCCCCAAGAAGAGACCCTGACACTGAGCAGCACCCCCCTCCCCCACAAAGACAGCCTGACATTGACCAACAACACCCAAGCCCCTCCCCCACCCGAGAGAGCTTTCCACTATCACTGCCCCCCATACACTGGCAGAGAGAAGACACCTTCACAGCTCCAGACATCCCCGGGAACAAGAGTCAGGCTCTGCATACACCATCAAGCAGTCCTCAGCCTCTTTCAGATCCCACCTGGTCCCCATGCTGCATGTGTCCAGTCTTCCATTCCTTTCATTTGGGGGGGGCAGCGCTATCCCCCTGAGAAATGCTGCTGCCCCCCCTGAAAGATGCCGCCCTAGGCAAATGCCTTGGTAAATACACCCCTGGCTATATTAGTTTTGTTTAATTACTTATTAATCATACATCTCTGTACAAGTGTGAGTTATATCACAGAAATATCCATTGAGCATAGAGTATGTCCTCAGTCTTCCAGATTAAATGGACATCATTCCACCAGAAAGACTGAGGGCACATTGTGGCAGATAAGGGGTGCAGTGGGGGGGGGGGGGGGGGCAGCACTGGACAAGATGTAAGTGTTGCAGCCAGAGCTGCATTATTATTTTTTAATATGACTGATTCTCTGATCTCAATAAAATATGCTCAGAGCCGGGCTTAAAGCGTACAGTGGGGATCGAAAGTTTGGGCACCCCAGCTAAAAATTTGTATTAATGTGCATAAAGAAGCCAAGGAAAGATGGAAAAATCTCCAACAGGCATCAAATTACAGATTAGACATTCTTATAATATGTCAACAAAAGTTAGATTTTATTTCCATCATTTACACTATCAAAATAACAGAAAACAAAAAAAATGGCGTCTGCAAAAGTTTGGGCACCCTGCAGAACTTATAGCATGCACTGCCCCCTTTGCAAAGCTGAGACCTGCCAGTGTCATGGATTGTTCTCAGTCATCGTCTGGGAAGACCAGGTGATGTCAATCTCAAAGGTTTTAAATGCCCAGACTCATCTGACCTTGCCCCAACAATCAGCACCATGGGTTCTTCTAAGCAGTTGTCTAGAAAACTGAAACTGAAAATAGTTGACGCTCACAAAGCTGGAGAAGACTATAAGAAGATAGCAAAGCATTTTCAGATGTCAGTATCCTCT